TCTGTGTCCTCTCTAGATTTATTAATCATGTCTTGCACCGTGAGCAAAATCTTTGCTGTTATCTGAGTAATTATTTCTGATTTCATTTTTTCCCAGATCCTCTTTTGTTGCCAGTTCAGAGAGTCCAGGTGGTTGAGTATCAGATTGTTCCATCTCGTTGCCCTTTGGGGTTGCTGTAGGTGATCCAGAAGTCTGTTTTTGAGGCTTGTTTACGTGTCTTCTCATGTCCACGGTGAGTGGGGTGCTTCTGGTGCCCGTGCGGCTCACCTTCTCTGCCCTAGGAGCTTGGGATGGCGGCAGGGGAGCTTCCTTCTGGGTTCTAGGACCAGCTCACCTTCTCTGCTCTAGGAGCTTGGGATCCCGGCAGGATCCTTTTCAAAGCCTGTCCTGCCTCACATCCCATGAGTCTAGTCCTCTCCACACTACTGAGGCCGCTTCTGAAGGCCCTGTGGCAGACAGAGGTCGCTCAGCTCCAATATCCCACTTTTTAAAAGTTAATTATTCCAAATGTGCTGGAATCTGGTCTCTGTTTCATGAAATCTATTGTTACTGCACGCACGTGCGTGTGTATATGTGTGTTTTAGATCTGGTTCCTTGTGTGAGTGTGCCACTCCTCTTCTCAAAAGAAATTTGGCCCTTATATTTCTCCCAACAGTTCTCTGCTTCATAGACTTCTCAAGTATTGTCCCACTTTTTCCATTTCTGTATCTCCTATTTGATCTTCAAAGCTATGATGATTTCTACTCCACTATATACAGTGACTTTCACTGCAGTCACCAGTAACCTTTATGTCACTAAATCCAGTAGATGCTTAATTCTTTTTAACTTGATCTCTGGCAATATGTGACATAGAAATTGAAAACCTCTAGGCATCTTGGACACAATAACCTGTTTCTCCCCAAAACTTTTTGTGGTCTTCTCTTCCTTTACCTAATGTCTAAAAAGCTGGTGTTCTTCAAATCATCCTAAGCATTCTAATTTTCTGATGTCACCATATTTTTGGACTATTTCATCCTCTCCCGTAGCTTCAGTCAGCTCCTATCAGCAAGTGACTTCCAAGTTTGTTTCTGTCTACTGATTCCAAACCTTTACTAACTTACCATTTCCACCAGGTGGACTTAAAATATTTAATTCATGCCAACACTAAATTTATTCTTCTACTACCCCCTCTCACTGTTGGCACTGCCACCTTTTCACTCCCTAAACAGAAAGCTGTCATTGGTTTAGATTCCTACATCTCCCTCAAGTCCTTCTAGGTTCAGTCATCCCCAAGAAGAGTTGGGGTCCTAAATATGTCTTGGAGCTGTACTCTCTGCTCACTGCCCAGGTCCTAAGTTCCAGATGCTATTTTTCTCTCCTGTTAATTTGTTTTTGTGTTTATAGTTGGGGTCTTGCTGGGATGCTCAGGCTGGCCTCCAACCCCAGGTCTGACTCAAGGAATCTTTCCAACCTTCGCCTCCTAAGTAGCTGGTGTTACCGAATATAACAAGCCCGTGCTCTCACATAAAGGAATGAAGTTGCAAACCAAAGGAGGTTAGGAGAGTTACTGGAAATAAGAATATAGTGGGTGGCTGCTGTGGCTCCTTGTTGGGCATTTTATATAGCACAATCACAACATAGATAACTATGGGTCAAACTACAATCAACTTACAGGATTTCAAGTATAGTTGCTTAGCTAATATTGCTCCAATAGAGAAGTGGGGCATTAGCAAGGGTATATGATGAGCATCATTAGCTTATCTGTAACTTAAGGTAGAACAGGCATTTCTGGGAAGGAATGGGAAGTGTGGGTCAGGATGTTTGATCAACCCACTTATGCTTCTGATGCAGGCTTCCTGGGCTGGGTGGTGCTAATTACAGTGTAATCTCAAACTGCTGTTTATCTCTAGGGAGGCCTGCATCCCTGGCTCTCTTCAAATTTGTTGCAGCCACAATTTTGATGCGTCTCATCTTTTGCACTGATTTTCTCAAAATCCTGATACCTCTCTGAGTGCCTATTAATCTTAGCTGTCTATAATACAGAGATTACAGGCACCAGTCACCGCACCCATCCTCTCCTGTTGTTTTTTAAAAACCCTTCTAATGAGCTCTCCACATCTGCTCTTGCATCCCATAATCCACTCTCAGCAGTTCCAGAAATCTTTCAGAAGTACAAATAGCATCACAAAATCACTCTGTAGTAGAATTTCCATTTAGGAAACTTAAGACATTGGAGGGCAAAAAGGCTAGGGTGGAATAGAACTAAGCAACTGTATAATAAAAACTGATGTCTAAAGATGGCTTCACACTTTACTTAAGATTGAGATCAATTTGTATAATCAGTCTTTTTAAAATGCAGGTGTTTTCGGAGGTTGATGTCTTTCTGTCCCTTTGTGCTGTCAGTTTTGGGTGAAGTTGTTGTAATACAAGTATACTTCAATAAAGTGGTCTGAACAAAACAAACAAGACTGTCCAAGGGCTGGGGATTTAGCTCAGTGGCACCGCGCCCGCCTCGAAACACAAGGTACTGAGTTCAATCCCCGGTACCAAAAATTAAGACTATCCAGATAGAAACCTTTTCCAGTTTGGTATCAGAAAATGTCATAAAATAAAGCCCATGATTCATAAACCCATAATGATTTGGCCCCAGCCACACTCCCCTTCAGGCTTCTCCCTCTTCCTTTTGCTTAAACTATCTTGCTTTCTTTCAACCCATTTAAGAGGAAACATCTTTTTCCTGGACTTCAGAGCTTTAACCTCTGTTTGAAATACTTTGTCCCCTACTGTACCTGCCTAACACTTACTTAAAACTTGATTTCAGTGGAAATATTTTGCCTTTCCACTATATTCTCTCACAAACATTTATCTTAGGAACACTTCCCAAAAGTGTTATTAAATTATTTAGGCTTTCTTCCCAATTAAGCTCTAGTCCTTACCCTCGCCCCCAAAAGAACTGGGCCTCTTTCTCTGCTTCCTGGTGTACCTTGCACATAGCAGGGTCTCTGAAAACACTTATTCAATGGCAATAAACATAATTGGAAGGCATATTTTCTGGTACCACATTAACGAAAGTTCTCTGTGGAGAAGAGGTTTTCTTCTTTCTTCAAACAGCTTTACTGAGGTGTAATTGTTTTGGTTATTTAAAATCCACCTTTGTGGTTAGTTCTTGGCTGGACTATTAGAAGGCTGGTTAATTACTACCAGATCTGACCGCTTCCCTGTGGGTACCGGAAGTAAAGACTGACTGACTCACGGGGTGCAGCCCAGATTTCCATCTGGAAACCCGGTCCCCCACTCCCGCTTCCTGACCCACCCTTTGCAGCGACGTGAATGGGGCTCGGCCCCTGGTGCCGAGGGGCGGGACTTCCGGCTTCATATTTCCGGAGACGCCGAGCTGCTGACCCAGGGCGGGGAGCTTTGAACTGCTGGTTAGGTTTTCTCTCTTTGGTCTTTGCGGTACTTGATGCTGTTCTTCCGCTGTCCAGACTCGGCCGTCATCTCAGTCAAAACATTTTTCCTGTGGCCCTATTTCTCTACAGTTGCGATTATTTTCCGTCATCAGGAAACATCACTCGTTGGTAATTTGTGAAATTCGGAAAATATCCCTGGAGACGCTGTCTTGGGAAGGCGCAGGCGCTGCAGTTTCCAGCAGTTTGGCAAAGTAAAACTCAGAGGCCTCCTAACCACAGCTTCGTAGCTCAGAACTGTTGTGTGAGTGCAAGACCTTTAGTTGTTTGGACGAGACTTTTCTGTAACCAGATACCGTATTTTGAAAAGTGAGTTTCCTACCAGTGTCAAGAAGATTAATTTGTGGCTAACATGCTGACAAAATGTACTGGGTGGTAAGAACACAGATAGATATAAGGCAGTAGAGATGAGGCTGGAAATGAGGGTTGGGGCTAGATTATGATTTTCTTTGATATGCCAGGAACTTCAGATACTACACTGGTTCGTATGTATGCTTGATTATTTAAAATTATTATCGATTGAAACACATAACTTGTACTTCTCGTAAAGGTATTTTAAAAACAAAAAAAACTTAGACAAAGATAGAGACCTCTTTTCCCAATTTGGAATCAGAAAATAAGGAATTGTTCAGGTATATAGAGGCACCCTTTTTTTTCTTGAAATACTGGATAGATATGTCTGAGTTGTGTGTGTTTAACAAATATATTACCACTTATTCCCATGAACATTTATTGCCATTTAATAAGTATTTAAACAAATGATGTAAAGCAGTTAGTATAGTCTGTCTTGTGGAAAGTTACCTATGCAGCAATACTAGAGATGGATCAGAGAGAGAAGAAACTGGAAAAATATACTAGACAGTTGCAGGATTTGAGAGAAGAGTAGATAAAAAAGGGATAAAGAGAGCCAAATTCAAGAGAAACTTACGTACTGAAATACTGAGAAGTCAAATACATATTGCTAACTTTGACTACTAACACTGAGCTTCCATTATCTCAAATTGTGAACTCAAGAGAATCTAGAATTTAACATTTTACTCATTTATTCCTTGATCATTCAATGAATATTTATTGCCTAATACTGTTTTTAGATCCCAGAGATACAATTATGAGTAAGACAGATAAGGACCCTGCTCTGTTGAGTCAAAACAGTGGAATTAACTGTACATAAAAAACTATTAAATATGTATGTGTACGTATTATATTTGTATATATTTATATATACACACATAAGTTATAGGGAATAAAGTATTTTTGTAGTGTTCAAGTTGCATACATTAAATGCAAAAAGACAAGCAAGTGAACAATTTGAATAGCAATAAATTCTATGAAGAAAAAGATGAAATAGAATAAATGATTAGGAGATGACTGGGAGCAACTTTTAACTTTGTGGTCAAGTCAGTCCTTTTGAGACCTTAAAGACAAAAAAAAGTGGTTGATAAACTAAGGAAAGGACAAACTAGGCAGAAAGAATGTACAAAGATTCTGAGATGAGAACTTGTTTAAAGAAGGTTTGAAAAGCCAGTGTGACTAAAGGGTCCTGAAGAAGTGGAAGGGAGTTGTGAGATGATGCTTGTACAGATAGATAGGGTAGGTTGTATGGCCTTTGTAGGCTACGATAAGGAGTTTGGGTTTTATTGTAAGTGGAAATGGAAGGTATTGGTGGGTTTTAAGCCATGGAGTGATAGATCTGGTTTTTATTTTAAAAGATCCCCTTGGCTACCGTATTTAGATTGGACTTGAGGGAAGAGATGAGAGTGAAAGTGAAATTAGAGGATATTACAGAAGTCTGCTTTTGGTGGGAGTGGTTAAATTCTATGTTAGTCATATTGGATTTGATTTATCTATGAAACAGACATGAAAAGAAGCCTAGCAGGCTAGCAGTCAGGGTACTGAATGTACTGGAAAGAGGTCAGATGGATTTAGAAGTTCTCTAGAGAAAGAAAATAAAATTATGTGAATCTCCATAGGAGAGACCAAATGGTTACTTATATCCAGACATTCCACACAAGATTATAGGACTTATCATATACAGCTGATTACATGCACTGAAAGGGGGCAAGATTAAAAGAAACATGTGAGGCCTAACAGTAACATGAGTGTTTATAGTAAGAAGAGATGAAATGGAGACTAAGATCAGATCTTGAAGAATCTTTAAGGTAATTAAGTGAATGATAAAACAGAAGTAGAGAGAAGAAATCTTTAGCAGCCCAAGATGGGAAATGGTGTTTGGGTGGGGACAGCAAGGGAAGAGAGTTTGGTACAGGGGAAGGTAGACAATATTGCCACAGTTTGACCAGGTCTAGTAGGATTCAGAAGACATTGGTGACCATTGTGAAATAATCTCAGTAGAGAAGTAGACGAGAAAGCTGGATTGCAGTGGATTGAAAATTGATAAAGTAGGCAATGAAAGTTTTACTACTCTTCAGAGGTTTATTTGTAGGAAGTGGGTTAAACTGGGCAATTGTTAGCTGTGGAAAGTTATGTTTTTTTATAGGTGAAATTTGATCATCTGAATAGTAAAGGAGATAATATAGAAGGGGTGGAATTAGTGTTAGGAAGGAACGAAAACATGTCATGAGCTTTATTGAGCTCTTACAAGGTGACTTTCACAGTGCTAGGCATTGTATGTATTTTCTCATTTATTTCTCACAAAGTCCTGCTACTGTCCCTGTTTACAAATGTAGAAACAACCTGGGAGTCATAGCTACTAAATGGTAGAGTGTGAGTGGAAGTCAGCTCTCTACTTCACCTGCACTTGTATGGAGATCATAAGTGAAGATAGGGTCATTTTTAAAGGTAGAAAATTAAACTCAGGAAATCATGAATCTAAGCCACTTGGAGACACATGCAACTGCTTCCTTAATGCCAGGCTAGGGACAAGAATCCAGGTATTTGGATTTCTTTTTCAGTGGTCTTTTCTCTAAGCCTAGTAATTAATTTTGGCCTGCCTTTTGCGTGTATCATAGATGTTTTGCTGTATTCATATTATAACAGTGTAATTTACTTGTTACTTGAAATGAGATCCTCAGCATATCATTTACAAAGCTTGAACTTCAAAAGTAATAAAGTTACAAAAATTATAGACAGTTATAACTTTGTGAGCTGTCTTCTCCCTCCAGGTTATGGTCCTACATTAGAATAAAATCCTAGGGGGATTATCAAGGCATTTTGTTAAAAATGTTAATTTTAGATCCTTTAAGTATCTGTAGTAAGGTCACTTTTCCTCCAGCATAAGTAAATGCAATGGCATCATGTTTTACTTATGTTGTTAGAAAATGCATCTATTTATTTTGATGGAACTTTTATGCATTAAAAGAACTGCTGTGCCATTATGTTTTTCATTTCCTTCAGTCTTTACCTTGGGAGGACATAGTCATACCCTGTCAGCAATGGCAGCGGAAGTGCAAATGGTACTCTATGAAGATGATTCAGTGCAAGTACAGTATGTTGATGGTTCCAAATTGCAACTTTCTCCCTGTGGCTCTGAATTTTTATTTGAAAAGTCACCTCCTATTTCAGCACATCCTTTAGAACAACCAGAAAGAATTCGTCAAAGGACACACTTTGTTATCAGCACTTACCAAGTAAGTAATATCACAAAAAGTACTTTTTTTGAATACTAAAATATTGTCCAAGGGAGCGGGAATATGAAAAGTAATTTGTATTCTGGAATACTGTTATTCTATACTGATTTTCAAATCATTGTATTTATTTATTTTTTCCATTAAGTTTATTGGTACATTTTAGGTATACAATACAGTTACATTCATCATTGGGATCTTGTACCTGTACATGATGTATCTTGGTTCTTACTTTTTCCCCATTCCCCTGCCCTCCCTTCACCCCCTCCACCCTTCCCTATTTACAAAGACTTTTATATTTTTTAAGGTAACATTTTACATTTCTTCTAGAAGCAACTTCAGCGTGCCCTAGATTTTCGAAACTCTTCAGCTGCTTGCCCTTTTTTATCTGAAAGCATCATACCTTCTGAAAGAAAAAAGGTAAGTTTTTAAAAACCTCATTTTTATAAGTAATATTTAGGTAATTAGATTTTAGGGGGGTTTTTTGGTATCAGGGATTGAACTCCGAACCTTGTTCTTATGAGGTAGGCAGTGGAACCACTGAGCTAAATCCCCAGCCCTTTAGGTAATTAGAAATGTTTAGTTTTTCTGCCTTTCCCCTAGGATACTCAGGAAGGACATATGCTATAGAATGCATAGGCCTATATATTTCACTTAAGGAACATAGAAGTTATATAGTTCATATCTCTGCCTTTTTTTTTTTTTTTTTTTGGATTTTTGAGACAGGGTCTCGCTATGAGGCTCAGGCTCACCTTGAACTCACTATGTAGTCCAGGCTGGCCTCAAACTCGTGGTAGTCCTCGTGCCTCAGTCTCCTAAGTGCTGGGATCATAGGTGAATGGCACCACACCTGGCTTCTGCCATTTTATTTATAGCCAAAGATTATAACTTTTCAGATTGGTGACTTTTTCATTCTCAAAAGTCCCAAAATTTAAGAAAGTCTTTGAGCATTTTCATAATTTATTTGTAGTTATTTGTTAGTGTATAGTAGGGATATGTAATTATAGGTATAAAAATTTTATTCTTTTGCTTAAATTTTATTTTGCACTGAGGAATACTAATAATAATTGTCATTTATTGAGTTTACTCTGTGCCAAACACTAAGAATCATGTTGAAAATACTCAATACTGGTGTTACAGTATGGATGGCTACCTTCTGTCAGAATGGACGTCCAGCCTATTAAAACAGATGTATTGGCTGGATATCAGCCCCCC